AGTGGAGCGGTCTGGAGTCGTTGTCGTTTGGATCACACCTCCGGGTTTGTTGCCGAGTGCTATCGGGCGTAAATGTTTTTGTGGGATTGGGTCCGTTGTGTGTTCGAAATAGGCTGGCTGGTGTGACGTGACCGTAGTTGGGTCTGTGAAAGTGGTGGCGCGCGTCAAGAGTGATATAGCCTCATCAATCCCGTATTTCGGAGTTGGCGTTGTTGCTGTGAAAGCAAGTTTTTGCTTGTCCCCGGAATCGTTCCCCCCCCGTGGTCTCGTAGAAGACCGTACAAACTGTACCAGAGCTCGACGAAGAGCTTCAAAGAACCATGGAAAAGCAAGCTTATTAATCGTAAGCTGCAACCAATGCAACCACAATGAACAGTGGGTCTTTAGCATGTATAGGAAGAAAGAGCGAAGGACGTGGTGACAGCTCTGGGTGTGAAACAGGCGTCGAAGGCAATCGAGAGTGTGGTCAGGGCAATCGAGGGTAAGTGAAATTCGTTGGTTCCACAGATGAACCGGTACCGCCGCAGAATCGACCTTGACAGCTTTCCCTGTAATTAGAGAAGCGTTGATCCACTGTGGTGGTAGCCAGGTGTTTAAAGCTTGAATAAAGTGTCCTCGTGGATCCATCGTACTAGCTTTGAGTGGCGCTAGCGGTTTTTCACCCAGAGCAGTACCACCTTGTACCGGTATTGTAGCCATTACAGCATCCAAAACCGCTAATCCGGCCTTAAGCGGGGTTAAACTCGTGATAAAGCGTGAGGTGATTCGTTTTGTAAGGCTCCACAGAGGCAAGTCCCATGCCATTGCGATTTCCCCTGTAGTGAGTCGTCGGTATCCCACTCCAGTTGCAGAGAAGCGACATGGTACCTGAATATGCATGCTCAGTGCTTCTTTTATCGGCAGAAGGTCATTCCCCGAAATGAAAGTAGATGGTACATGAGTGCTTGATACGTACTGCTTGTGATTGATGACCGCATCCACTGACCGTGCTACGGTAGGGGTTAATTTAAATGGCTTGCACCCCTCAACATAGAATTTCGATTTGGCGTCTGTAACTCCTCCAACCTCAGCGTGGGATAGGAAAAAGGATTGAAAGCGTTCTTTATCTATCGTAATACGTCGAGTTTTGGTCGTTACTCGAAATATTCTAACTTGTCCTGTTCCCCTTTTCATCCATTCTTTGGCTTCTAGCGATGTTCCAGCACTAAAAGAAATGTCGGGGAGATCTGGGGGTCGCCCATGGTGGAGAAGATCTGTCCACTGTTTATTTATTTGTTCACTAACCTCATCAGGGATGGGTCCTGWGATGTACATTTGCTTCCATTGTGCTGGGCGGAGAGTGAGTAACCAACAGTAACCTTCAGATCCGTTGACTTCCCCAACGAGCTTGTATTCGTGAGTCCGTATCCCTCCATCGACATGACCATGTTGAAACTCAAGCTGTCCTGTTGCATGCTTGGACTGAACGATAACTTTCGGTGCCACTACAGTTTGTTCTTGGCTAGATTGATTATGGGATAGAGGCAAAGATGAAAGCGCTATTATATTGATTTGCTTATCCCGTATCAGTCAGTCCTTCTTTGGTGCAAAAGTCTTCAATGCCCAGTCTTTCGTGGTCGTTCGTTTCATGAATTCAGTAAGTTTGTTTTGCATGGTGGTCGACGCTTTGTTTGCACTTTCACTAGCCGACTTTGCTTCTTTGATCTTGGATGTTACTTCTGTTTTCACTTCTGATATACTTTGCTTTACTCTGTTGATGTCTTCCTGAAAGGTATTTACATCACTGGAGTCAGTGTTGTGTACTAGGAAACGGATATACTCTGAAGCAATAGATTCATGATTCCCAAACTCAGCGTCCACAAATGTCTTGAGCACATCCAAGGTCTGTGGTACATATAACMACACAGCTGCGGCTATTTCATCCCTTGCCAACGTATCTCCACACATATCGAAGCCATCAGCCACTCCGGATCTTGCTGCGAATAGTTCTTGAAATACTCGGTCTCCTAGTCTTGTAGTGAGTACCCAGGCTTTGTCTACTGGCATTCCATACAGTACGAGACTGGCATGGGATTTATCAAGCCAGCTGCAAAACTTTTCCACAGCTGCACATGATTCGGATATTGAGAGCTTGCAAATTCTGTGCACTTCACTCCCGTTTGTGAGGAAGTTATCTGCATGTCGATTCAATTGGGTCCTAACTAATGTTACACCGGTGGGGATCTGGTCTTTCCCCTTTTCCAACCAATCCTTGTGAGTTGGAAATCTACTGAATGCTGAGGCTTTAGACGAGACTATGGCTTCCCCTGGGGCAGTGAAGAGTTCTGGAACTGGGTTATTGAACCCATGCATAACTATAGCCTCACGATTGGTTCCAATCCCTAGCTTCTTGACATGCTCAAGCCTTTCAAAGAACTTCGCATGTCCCTTTCTGTTCTTCATGACGTGGTGGCACACAGCGTACGGATCAATTAGCAGTCCAAAGTTTACAGCTTGCGGGTTCTTACTCACGAATGCTTTGGCATCTTTGAGACCGGTGAATGCGAGGGATGCAAACTTAACTGCCGATTCTTCCTTATCATCCATTAGTTTCTTGATTTGAGCCTCCATTGTGGCTATCTTGTTTTTTAATTCTGCTACCTCCGTACTGTTTATGGGGCCAGTATAATATTGAGCTTGATTGTGAGTGGGCAAGAAACCCGACTGTCCTCCCTGAAAGTTTGTAAAGGGGTTACGCGGAAGAGGGATATTAAGCTTTGCTTCCAGTGTGTCAAGCTTATTTACGATGGCTTGATTAGCCTTGTAGTAGGCTGGGAACCAGTTTTCGCTGAGATGATTAATAAACGAATCCACGACTTCAATGGTGGCATACTTCCCCTTGACCTCGGTAAGTATTCTTTCTTGAGTCTCATCTTGTGATTGGCTTGAGTTTCGGCTTCCCCCTTGGAAATAATTGACAGAGTATCTTCCAATTGCACTAATCGTTGACCATATATCTGTTTCATCAAACTCTTGTGGGAAGTTCCTTGGGTCCTTGACACCTATCATGGTATCGATAGAGTTTATTTGGGTGTTTTGGTAGTTTCTTTGAGCTTCATTCTCGTTGAGTACCGCCGCAAGGGATCGCCATCGCAGCTCGTCTTGAGATTCCATCCCAGTGATGTAACTTTCGATCCTTTGGACCCTTGCTGTCATGTCTTCTTTGTTGGTTCCTGGTTCAAGCTTTGGGAGCTTTTCGAAGGACAGTGGTGAATCGCTACGTTGAGTTTCTGTGAACAGTAAACCTCTTGGTTTCATAGGTGTTTTCAATTCTTTCTTGGCTATGTTGGCTTGGTCCTCTTGTTCCCGGAACTCCGTTAAACTGATAGGATCATTCACGAACAGGTATTTTACTATTTCGAAGGCTTTATTCCAGTTCATCTTGGATTTGGTTGTGGTTATCCATTCTTGCAAGAGCGATCTATCTACCATGCGTAGTGGTAATAAAGGAGTGGAAAATACGGTATCTTTCGTACGAGACAGAGCTATTACTGATTCCGTGAGGAACAGTTTCCCTGAGCCATGATGGCTTACAGTGCAAGACTTTTGCTTTGTGCATGCTCCTTCATTGTGTCTCAAGAAACCCTTACAAATATCCTCCGGCCTGTCTATGATAACAATGGAATATACAACACTACTCCCTTCATCCCCCCCCGAAGCCGGAGGAGGAGGAAGCGACTCACCATCAAAAAGGGACACCGTGGCATCCCCGGCGACGACGCTGGGGACCGGCGGGGCCTGTTGGCTAGCGGAGAGCATAGCTCGGAGTGCGGAGGAGCTCATGGTAAAAAGAAATTAGTAGAGCAAAGTCTCTAGTTTGGTCTCTTAGCAAGGGACACCAAACTACAGTTTGCTTAGCAATGAGAGCAACTTTGCCTCGTGACAGGGGCATGGTTTGCTCTAACCCATACAGAGACGCTGTATGATCCTATTCACAGTTGCTGTACCAATCATTGCTCTTTTGTTGATGTGTTCATTCAGTTAACTTGGACTGCTTCAATCACTGGTTCTGATCGGCGCGTTGGTCTGTCCTCCGTTTGCTTCAATCCATCAGAGTCCTTGTGACACGTGGAGGATGATGACCATCAGTACGGATTATCATGATAATACTACGGTACGTACGGTACGTACTGAACCGTACTATCAAGCTGGAAAAAAGTTCGGTTCCAAAACCTAACCGTAATTTTGGCTGGCCCACAATACGTACTTCTCCGACCGATGATGCATTACTGTATTTAAGAAGAATTGTTTTGACGTCACAAAAGAATTTTCTTTTTTGGCATGACTATCGTACGAGTGGCATCGTACGCACGAGTATCTTCAGAGCTATGCGTCAATAATCCCCCGCACCGTTCGGAGTGCTAAAGAAAATATCGCTGTCATGGTCTGCACTCGTTCGACTCCTACCGTCCATCCGTTGGGAGATCATCACTTACGTCAAAACTTTCCAATATGCTAAAAAATAAATCACAACGTCTCCCCAACGTCGGAGGCTATCGATGCCGGCGCTCTTGCTTCAATGCGGGAACGATACAGAGCATCGAAATCACGAGTTGTAAGGGATTGGATGCCCGAAAAATTCGAAATGGCGCCACTTCGAAAAAAATAGCTCCAGGGCCTTCCATAGTAATTTTGGCCCCGACCTTGAGTTCGTCCCCTTATGTGACACAATCCGATGTCACTCCGAGCCCTTTAAGTTGCTACGTGAAGTTAGGCATTAAACTGTTCTGTGATTGGATCAGACGCACATGCAAAATAGAGGGAAAAAATGAAGCAAGCCATAACAGAACGATGAACCAACTCGTTTTGCGTACAATAATCGTTCAATAAAGAAACATTTTCCGATGTTTCACCCAAAAAGTGACACAACCGAACCCTACCATCCGTTATTTTTTCATAAGTGGCAAGTAGTACACTTTATTCAACCGTTATCTCCAGTCAAAACGTTCATGCGATCACCACTATCACATTCTTGATGCAATACATACGTACTTACAAACCAAGAACACACCAAACCACCCATCGATCGAACATGAGACCATCGTCCCCCGCCGGCTCCAAGCACACCATCGGCCAGGCGCTGCTAATGCGATTCCTGCTTGCCTTTCTACTGGCGGCGACCGGCAGCAATTTCCTCCCCTCGACCAGAACCGCCTCACCGGTGGTGTGCTGGGCGGCGCCGGACGGTGCCGACGGCAACGCCTCCGATGCCGCCGCGGGGTCCTCGGCGCTTCCATCGGAGGTCGCCTCCTGCGAAACATCGTCGCCGGCCCCCGTGCGGACCTGCCCCGATCCTCCCGTCCTCAGGGTTTCGTACGTCTCGAGGGGATCGGTCGATTGCGGCGGTGCGCTGACGCCCGGACAGGCCGACATGGCACCCCTGGTCCGGGTGGTGGCGGGCCCCGGCGAAACGGCCATCGATCCCGGGGAGCTCTACGCCCTGGTCCTGGTCGACACCACCATTGGGGCGGACGCCCTTGGTTTCGATTCCGACCGACCGATCCTGCACTACGGGGCCGTCAACATTCCCGGGTCCTCCCTGCTGGCGGGCATATCGCTCGATCGATCGGACGCCTCGGACGTCTTTGCCTCCTACCGGGGGCCGTCCGGCATCTCGGTTTCGGTCACGGACCCGCGGTTCGAGGACCCGGCCGGGCCGGGCAGTGAGAGCAACGGCAACGGCCTCTCTGTCTATGAGTTTTTTCTGGGGGCCCAGGCCGACGGTGCCGAACCCGTAGAGGTTCCGACCGAGCTCGACGGGGTCTCCATCCTGGGCTTCGACTACGAGGCCTTTTTCGACGAGACGGTGGGGATCGGATTCGAGAACGTTACCGTCAGAACGCACTTTGTCGCCGGGAGCTGCGTCCGGGATCCCGTCGCGACCGTCCGGGAGGACGACGAAGACGAAACGGAAACGGAAACCGTGCCCGGGGGCGACAGCGAGGCTCCTTCCCCGCCACCGGTGTCCCTCGCCACGGGGGGCAACCTTCCACAGGCGGCGACGGCGACGACTGAGGGCGGGCCCACCGCCACCAAAGACCCCGAATCCCTTCCGACCGCCAGCGCCACGCCGATCGTTGGCAAGACGGAAACCGATCCGGTGCCACCGGCAGCTGCAACGTCCGGGGCCACGGGGCACACCCATGTGGGGACCGTCCTTTCCGCTGCTGCGGGAGTGGTCTGCGTGGCGCTGTCCTGCCTGCCGTGGTAGGCAGGCAGGCAGGTAGATCGATCGATCGACAGCTGCTTTGTTCCCTCTGAGCATTGGCAGTGCATAATTAGCATATGGAAGATCGGGGACCTGTTAACGGCAATCACAATTGAAGTCATTCTGGACTTCTGAATTGACGAAAAACCTATGAAGCAATCCATCGGGCTGCTGTTGCAGTTTCCACCATCGCTTTTCGAAGAGCGAGGGAATCGCAAGATATATGATCCGAGAGCAGTTGTAGTAATCTCAGCAGAACCACTGGGGATGCACCACGGCCTTCACGTGCAGAAACTTCATGGTGGTTCTTTTTGCTTCCTTGCTATGAGTTGGTGGTTCCTTCACTTTCTATCCATGATGTGTCGTCTCGATGTAGTGCCATCGCGAATAGTTCAGAGATAGTAACTGTTTACTACGATGTCGTTGATAGGCTGAACCATTCAATCTATATATGTTTCCTTTCCAGCTAAATATTGTATTACTAGAGTTTTGTTTTCCAAATTTTCGGCATTTTTTTTTTCCATGCTAGAGCGCTGCTTCTTGGAATGTAGGGAGTATTAGAACATAGGGTTCCGAAGTATTTCATACAGCGACAGAGCAGGCCGTACCAGCAATTTGAGCGGCAGCATTACCTGAACTTGCCGCCAGCACCAGTGCAAGCACCAGTGCAAGCACCAGTGCAAGCACCAGTGCAAGCACCAACCAACACCTACTGAATCAAATGATAACGCGTGACCATGCTTAGTGATCAACGCGCAGACAAGGATTCACCGTTGGGTTCGCTTTTATGAACATGCCCTTATTCACCTGAGTTTACCTACCGTATCACGTGCAGAACGCAGCAAAAAACGCAAAAATAGTACCATGCCAATGGCTTCCTGTGCTTATTACCAAGGGAGGTTTATTCCTGTCTGAGAAAGTAAATTACATGGTATAATGCTATTCATAATCATGACATGCAGTGAATTTGGTAAGGTTACGTCCCGCACAATCATGTTATTCGACAAAAAGACACAGTGCTGGAGATTGCCGGAATCGAACCGGCGACCTTGTGCATGCTAAGCACACGCGCTACCAACTGCGCCAAACCCCCTTCTGAGAAATGTGTTCCTATCACTTTACAAAATCTGATCCTCGCTGTGATTACCGTTTCGCAATTACATTAATGGTACATAAAACGAGAACTGGGTCTTTCAGCATGAAAATAATTTTAACTGTAACTATTTGCAACGGGGCTATTGTAAAATTATTAAAAATCATACCGTCCCCTAATATAAACCTACTTAGACCAACATTTCCTAATTTCTTGTTTTCTTCCTTCGCCAACAGTCATTTCATCCACATAAGGGACGAGAGTACTACTAACAACCCATGTTTTCACGAATTTTAATTTCATCTATAACTTCCATCTCTTTATTTGATTTCATATAACCTTCGTCTGAACTTAAATTTCATCCATAACTTCCAGCTAACCCAAAATTTAGATACATATTTTCCACTGACCTGAACTTTAGTTACAGAGGCTACACTTACCCCCAATATGTGTAAGTATTTTTCGCTGTTTGTTTTTAGTTTGCACACGGCAAATCTGTAACTATGCAAATCAAACAACCTTGCCCCCATTGGTCAATTCATTATTTCTCACATTCCATGCGCAACTTCATTTGACAGTCATACCAAAACTTCTAGCACAATGTCTCTCACCAACGCCGGTCTTTTCGTGATTTCTTAGAGCCTCGGTTTCTAAGGAGAGCCTGTGCGGCTGCTCACTTCAGGCCAATTCAACATTTTTCTGTCATCCATTTTTTTGGTATCGTGTTTTTCCAAATATGTTGTTACGCATAGTGTAATGGCACTCCTTGTTGTATCTCTCTTTCTCTGCTTCCCAAAACCACGAATCCACTCGATCTTGCACTTCCCCATGCCAACCTTCCAGGTCGACCGTGGTCGGTTACAGCAGGCCCTTTCTCAGAACTTTTATGTTCCTTTTCCTGATGCTTCAACTTACAGGATTTCTTTAATTGGGTCAACTGGCAATTTGTACACCATTACGTTGGACCCTGAGGTCATACTGTGCAATTGTCCTGATCAGCACCCTCCCTGTAAGCACATTTTATTCCTTTTATTGGAGCTCGGTCACAACGTCAAAATTGGGTTGCTCAATGTTGACGCTCTTTATCAGGAACACCTTTCATCTCAAAGACTGGAAATAGTGTCCTTCTCTTTGCACCAGATGGGAGAATCCGGATAGCCACATTTTAACTTTCCAGGGAGTATGCACGACAGCACCATGGCAGGAGATTATGGCCTATATGAGAAGGCAGAAAGCATATATTACAGGACAGGGGGGAGAGGTGTTGTCGATTCCGCATTTAAGGTCAGAGGAGCTGAGTATCTCATTCAAAGCCAGCAAAATGATCCTGATAATTTCCCCACAATGGCGCAGAACAACCAGGCTATAGTAATCAGTAGGCAAGCAACAGCTGTCTGCCAGCAATCTGAATGGGGCGTGCGAATGGTTCAAGGGCAATTCCCACGGATGAAGGAGAGGCTTACCTTTGAAGAGATTGGAGATTGGAAGGTCATTCTTAATCTCTTGTTCTTGTTGTATAATTATCAATTTGGCAGAGTGGGTGTTAATCAGATCATCAACACCTTCATGAGTGATACCAATGACTTTGAGTCCTATGAAGAGATGAGGGACACATATGTACAACGCCAAATAGGATATTTCTCCTATGAGAGGGGCCCTGATGGAGACGCTAATTCAGCATTCCAATTCTTAGATTGCTGATGATGATTATTGGTTGTTTCGATTGTCAATTGTCATGTGGGGGGCCGGGGGGGGAGGTCACCATGGTCGTTCTTTAGTTTCATTTAGTTTTTTAGTTTCTATAGTTATTTCACTTACTAGTTTGAATATACTCCAGTTAGCAATTAGTATTATGAAAGCTGAGCTGAGCAAAAACAGACTCTAGAAAGGAGAAACGTACAAAATACACTGTGTTATTCCAGATCCAAGCCACGCGATACACCGTGTTATTTTTGTCATACCCATTTTCTTGCATACCTTCCCACAAAAACCAGCACTGGTAACAGAATGGGAACGCGTTGCACATGGAGCACAAAAACCAGCACTGGTAACAGAAGGGGAACGCGTTGCACATGGAGCACAAAAACCAGCACTGGTAACAGAAGGGGAACGCGTTGCACATGGAGCGTTCCAGTGAGCATTCCCCTTTGTTACCAGTGCAGGTTTTTTGTGGGAAGATATGTAAGACAACTACAAAATAACACGGTGTATCGCTTGGCTTGGATCTGGAATAACACGGGGTATTGTGTATCTTGTAAAATCAATCAGTATTTTGCATCCAGTACTGCAAACAGCAATCAGCAAACTAGTTTAGATTAATAGTAATAATTAGTAAATAACCATGGGATTGTTATTTCAAATCATCTTCATCTTCAGACAAGGACAACAAGGATGAGGAGGACAATAACAACGCGTTGCTGTGTTTGTTCTTCTTCCTTGTCCTCTTCCTCCTCTTCCAAGGTCAAAGAAAAGCACCAGCAATCTCAGCAATCATTGTCTTGATTTGTGCCATGCTTTGATGTGACAGTTGCTGATTCAGTTCAATGGACTGCTGATGCTGTTCCCTGGACTGGATAGCAAGGGCTTCTTGTTGTTGCAGGGACATCTGGACAAGGGATTGGAAGTCAGTGTTGCTACTGCTCATGCTGCTTCTTGATGAGCATCTTGAGTATGATCTCTTGGCAGGAGGACGTGGGCGTGGAGTATTCTGTGGAACAACAGCATTGAAACTTGCTTGTTGTATGGCTTGAGACAGCAGCTGAGTTGGCATCTCATCACCAAGCTGTGTTGGTGTCATATCTTCTTGAGAAAGTTGCGTTGGTGTCATATCTTGAGTGAGCTGCTGTGTTGGTGTCATTTCTTGAGTAAGTTGTGAAGGCTGTCCAAGAGGAGGAGGACTTTCAGTGTTGTTGATGTTGTTCCCGAAAGTTCCATTATCCTCACTAATAATGTTGTATCCTTCTTCTATATCAAATTCCTCCTCTCCATCCCCACAAGCAGCCTTGGCGCTCCTTTGCCAGCTTGACAACTGAATCGATGTTTGGATTCCCAGTAGGAATCATTTTCCTGTGGAGGGATGCATACTTCCTAGAGATTGAATCCTTGTCTCTTCCAGTCCCCCAGTTCTCTTCACAGGTATCAACAACTTATCTCCATAGTTCTGGTCCAATAGGAATGATCCTCCTCATGAGTGTCAGCAAGCTCATTGTCTCCCTTCTAGTTTAGTTCATGGAACCCCTAGATCTTCCACCTCTTTCTTGAGCAGTCAGCCTTGCAGTCCTCAACCTTGCACCAGCTGTTTCTGTAGCTGTTTCTGTAGCTGTTTCTGTAGCTGT